AATGATTGAATCGGATGTCACAAAATGGACACAACGAGATTTTGAAGCTATGGAAAGAACACTTAATAAATGTATAAAATATATTAGATTTTTTCAAATTCCTGCACAAGAATATTTTTATAAAGTTCGACCATATAAGAAAATATTACCACGAGAACTTAAAGAAGATCTTCAACTTTTTCATATTGTTCCATTAGGACAACCAAAGTTTACAACTGTTTTACCACCTAGAATGGGTTTAAGACCGGATTCTGTTATAATAACTTCACAACACGCTGCAATTATTGCAAATTGGATTTATAATAAACCTAGAGATACTTATAAACCTCATGAAATACCTTATCATTTTAAATTGTTAATCCGTGGTAGTCGAGATGGTTTTACACAGGATGAATTTCATAAACGTTGTGATCATAGAGGAGCAAACATTGTAATTGTTAAAGTAGAAGGTGCTCAAGTAGTTGTTGGTGGTTATAATCCTCTTGGATGGACATCAGCTAATGATTGGAGACAAACATCCGAAAGTTTTATATTTTCATTAAATAAAGAACATAAGACGACAATAATAAGTCGAGTGAGAAATCCTAATTGTGCCATCCGAGATACTGTTTCAAAACAATGGATCGGATTTGGAGTAGGTGATCTTCATTTTCTTGATGGAACATGTAGTCCAAGTGATTATGAAACAAAAATTTTAGATACTACAAGATACGTGGTTGAGGATTTTGAAGTCTTTCAGATCTTAACTAAATGTTAATTGTCATTTGGAGGTAATCGTATAAAAGGTAAACTACAAATATTTTCGGATTAATGTGAATAAAGAAATCATAGTTTATATTAGTAAGATAATTCTATATCTCTGTGAATGCAAAAGAAAATATAAAGAATATTTAGTATAATGTAATTTCAAATTTTCTTATCTCTGATGATTTCTTGAACAAAAAACCAATAAATATCTCAAATAGATGGGTAGGCGATTTAATGGGAGTAATCAATAAATTTTTCTGGGGAATGGTATGAAGCTGACGGGTGGTCTTATGAAAGGTTAGAATATTATAACTCATAATAATTAATATAGATTCGCCAATGGCTGATAGTAAAATAGTTTATCACTGTATTTAGTCTTTTTTTTTATCATGTAAATGTACGGATTAAATTATAAATATGATTTATAATTTTTGATGTAGAATCTAGAATTGAAATTTAATCACATATATTCGTACTTGGTTTTATTTTTTCTTATAAAGATTTTTGATGGAATTTTTTTTTTTTACATAATGTAAGAACATTATCAGAAATAAAAAAAAAAAAAAAACAATAGATCAACATTACATAATTGCTCCAGATGTAAATCGGCCAATGCAAATTTATATTAGGCTATGGTTAAGATGGGCTAATCAAATAAAGGATCAATGTCTAAAATTAATGTGCGAGGGGCGGAGCGCACGTTGAAAAAATTTCCGCACCCTAAAGTTTAATAATATGGGCGCTTTGCGAACATATACTTTAAAATTATGGACGAAATGTGAACACTAAAATTTTTATTGCTAATCGATTAATAATCAAAATAAAATAAAATTATAAAATATAAATAAAACTTTTCTCGAAGCAATTTTTATTGCGCACATTGAAAAAATTTTCGGCGCTGCAACGCACCAGAGTCTAAATGTAATGTGCGGCTCGCCCATAGTTTTGTTGAATTTTAGATACTGATATTACTTCACCGAAACTCACTTTGCCGACATAACACTTCACCTACAACCAATTCACTGACAACTTTATTTCACTGACAGCTCATTTCACCGACAAGTTTATTTCTAATAAATTCCTCTAACCCTACCCCAACCTTAATTCTAATGATAATAATGAGATGTCGGTGAAGCCTGTCGGTGAATTGATTGCAGGTGAAGTGTTGTGCCGATGAAATGACCAGAGTCGAAAATGAATAAAAATAATAAATCACATAAGAATATTACGTATGTGTCTAGTTTAACCAATTTTTGAAAAAATAATTTGAATACAATTCCAAAATTATTATAACTTAATACTTGAAATTACTATTAATAATTTTTTTTAAAAAGTTTTACATAACACTTTTGAAATTACTTTAGTATAATTTTTTTAAAAAGTTTTACTAAATTCTGATTATAAATAAAAATTACATATAACAAAGCTAAAGGTATTTAAAATTTTTTGTTATTGTTTTTTGGCTAATTATAATTATATATTTACATATTATATTAAAAAAGTATTTTTTAATAAATCAGTTTAAAAAATTTTACATAGTAGATTTGTAATTGGTATTTTTAATCTTTAAAAACAATTATACAGTACAAAATTATATGATTATATAGAATTTGTAAGTAAATAAAAGGTAATGCATAAAATATAACTTTATAAACTTTGTTTATATTGTACAGTAAAATTTTAATAACTTTAATATAAGAAAAAAAAAAGAAATTATTAAATTAGTAGTAAAAGCCTTTGATTATAAAAAAGTAATAAAATTAGAGAAATTTTAATTTGGAATTAAATTTTCCTTAAACTTGTATAGAATTTACTTAATTCATTGCGATATATTTCCAATTAAAGGTTGTGCTCTAAAATTTTTGATACAATATACTGATTTTAAATAAAACTTTCAAAATGAATAAATAATTGATGCTGTTGTATACTGTCCTCCGTTAAAGTTTTCTGTTGCTTTATATAGTAAAATCCATAACCTCTTCGTTTTTCTGATATATTTATTGATACTTGTTGATATTGAAAGACCCAAGTCGCAATATAGATGCTATATAAATTATCTTTTAAAATATTACCATTATATTTAAGATCAGATACAAGTCAATAATGTTATCTATTTAAATTGCGCTACTGCGAAGATTTTGGCGCAATGAACCCATTCCTGCATATTCCACTAGAAGTATATAATCTTCAGAAGAATCATCGTTTGATATTCTGTGGCATTTTATAAATGATGGATATTAAGAGCAAATAATGTAATAAAAGATTTAATTCAATATATAAATTATTAACAAAACGTAAGTATTAAAATAACGACGTTGTTAAATCACAGCTCAGAATTTTGTTTATGAAACTGCTTTTTGAGTTATAACAAAAAAAAACAAATTCTTTGTGAAATACTGGTATAAACTATGTTAAGCCCTAACTCTAAACTCAGTTCTAACCCTAAATTACTAATGTTCAATACATTATTTACTGTGTTGAACACCATAGGGTGATTTAACATAATTGTAAAAATCATCTCTTTTATGACCTTTCGTTTTGAGATTTGGATCCATGAAGTAATTTAAGCACACATCTCTCCAATAATATTAGTTTTATTTTTCCGCTTAACATGAAATACCGTCACAAATTCACCTTGTCTTATTTTTCTATACTATTAATTCTTTATATTCTTCAATTAATAATTTTTTTTATTTCATCGTCATTATTAGGGGGGTTTCAAAATTAACGTATTTCAAAAAAATAAGAATTACGGTCTATTATAACTCTAGGCCATTAATAAAAAATTCGAGGAAACAGCATGGTTATATAATAGAAATTAGTTATTCCACGTATTTGTCATCGATATCGTGGATAGCCTTCATATCATGCATAATTGCGGCTGCGCCGCAATCATTCCTGATATCTATGATAAAATGTAGAATAACTATTAGGCCAAATTTGGTTACTTGGATTTAGAGAGGCACTTCGATAAGTATTTTTTATTATAGTTAGCTTTTGGATTTACTTTACAATGACTAATATTCGATTATTTCTGATCGAAATAAGGCCACTCGAAGTTGAATTTTCGGTTAACATCACTTTTAGAACTCTTGGGGGTGATGTTAATTGAAGAATCAAATTCGAACGGCCTAAAGAAGAAGATTAACGTAATATTTATATATAAATCTATTGGTGTGATTTACTACGTGCACAGTTTTTTAAATGTTCATATTCATAAAAACATGTTTGTTGATAGGTTAAGAAGCAATGCAGCATAGCGATAGACATGTGAAACAGTATATCCAATCAAAAGCAAGGATTTGCACAGAGCACTTCACTACACGTTACACTCTGTCCCTGGTATACTAGATCATTCGGGCACACAACTTTAAAGTTCTTAATACAAGACAAATCTTAGCGATAAGGCGTAAAAAAATTAAATTTAGTTTGACGACCCGATTTTGCGCAACATAAAAAAAAAATATTTGGTACGTACGTATATAGGAATTGAAAAGTAGTAAAAAATTTTACTCTTAATAGATTTTATAATAATGAGTGTTTTTATAACTAAGTATATTCTTTCAAATCTACCAGGCTTAATTGCCGTGTTACTGTTTTTCTATATAATTATATATTACTATAAATACTTCACCAGAGAAAACCCACTTTCTGGTCCATTTCCTTGGGTGCCTTTTCTAGGAAATATACTGGAATTGTTTAAATATCGATTAAACCTTATAGAATACATAGCAGCGGTTCAATTAAAATATGGTGATTTCTGTGAAATTCACTTTGGTCCTAAACGAATTATTGTTATCTCGAGCAGTGATGTAGCTTATCCAATTCATACACCCTCGGTAGCTCTGAATCATAAATTCCTTTATCGTGATTCCCCAAATCCTGGGTTAAACGAAGTTGGTTATGAACAAACTGGAATAATTGCTAATAGAAATTTAGATGAATGGAAAATTAATCGCAAGTTCTTCGAAAAAACAATGATGTCAAAAAGATTTTTAAGAAAACTTACAGGAAAAGCTCATGAAATAGCTTTAGATATGTTTAAATTATGGGATATTTTAATAAATAAACAAGATGAAATTGACCTTGCGGAATGGTTAGCAAGATTTGCTGGGGATATAGCTGTTTCCGCAGCAACTGGAATTCCGGCTTATACGACACTTTCTTATTTTAATTCGCTTGGATATGGATATAATCACGATCATATTCCAGCTTCAAAATGGGAACGCTCTTCAAAAGTGGTTTCTCATATTAATTCAATTTTTAGTGTAGGAATATGTAAGCATTTTTAAATAAACCATTACTATATATTATATAAAATGTTAAATTCATTGACAATTTTTATTTTTATTTTTTTTAATTCAAGGGTTTCTTTCAGTCCCACCTTTTGTAAGGCATGCTCCTGGCATGAATTATATAAATAACAAGTTCTTAAAATATGCAAATGATCTAGAGGTCACTATAAATGAGATAATTCAAGAAAGACACGCAGAAATTGATTCTTTACCCAAAGATGCTTTATTACCATCTGACTTTTTGACATTACTCCTTACCGCAAATACACCTCGTGATCAAGAAAATGCTTTATATCAATCATTAGGCCGATCTTTGAAAGATCGTGAAATTTTTGGTATTATTAAAGATATTTTCACGGGTTCTTTTGAAACGGTAATTTATTATTTAATTATAAGATTTGTAATAAAACTTGTAATAATACAAATTATACACTAACATTTAAATACATAATTAAAATTTCTTAATAGACTGCAACTACAATGAGTTCAGTAATGTACTTTGTATGTAGATATCCTTCTGTGAAATCCAAAGTACTTTCTGAAATAAATTCAATATTCGGACATTCAACAACACTTTCAAATTTCCATTACGATGATATGGAAAAACTTCAATACTGCGACGCCTTAATTAAAGAAGTACTTCGTATAAGCCCAACATTTCCAGTATTACCACGATCAAATTCTGAACCTGTAGAAGTTGGTGGATATTTATGGAAAAAGGATCAATCATTCTTAATAAATTATCAAGGAATTAATATGAATGAAAATGATTGGATTGATGGAAAAATTTTTGATCCTGACAGATTTTTAAAGAATGAAGGTAGTAAGAGATCAATGAACGCTAAAGTGGCTATTTCTAAAGGAGCATTCTCATCATTTGGTGGAGGTGCTAAGTCTTGTCCGGTTTGTATTTTAAACAGTGCAAAATTATGAATCTTATTTGTATATTAATAGATTTTATAAATTTATAATTTGCATTAACAGGGAAAACTTTGGGCGATAACCGAAATTAAAGTACTTTTAGTAGCAATTTTAATGAGATATGACTTAGAATTTGTGAAAAAAGATCAAGGATTGGACTTATTTTATGATTCTTCATATCATTGGCGAGAACTTAAAGTCCGTCTAAAACTTAGAATACCAAAGGCATAATTTATAAAAAATTTTATTATTAAATATTTTTTAGACAAGTAGTTTGTCATCATATTATTTTCATAAATAAAGGATACTATAAAGGACTTAAATAAACCAATGTCCATTCTTTCTATATTTGATATTAACATCTACGTATGGTATGACTAGAGATAAATTTAGACTATTACCAAGGACATAGAATTTATGTGATATATGTAAACTACGTTCTTAATATTAACTTAGCGTGTCCTCAATAATTTTATGTAGTGAAACCGGGCACAGCGGCGAGTCAGTCGCTCGATAATCTTAATCCTTGCGTAACCTACGGTCGGTTTAGTCGAGAAGAGACGTTTAGATTTGGTCGGTGGTTTGGTGTCCGTAGGTAAGTAATCCTTCGTTTGACTTGGTTTCTTGTACACTAGTGTCTTTTACTAACTTCAATCCTTAATTACCACACTACTTCGGGTAATTAGGTAACGATATAACCACAACTATCAC